GGTGCCTGCCACCATGCCCGGCTAGTTTGTGTGTGTGTGTGTGTATTTTGAGTAGAGATGGAGTTTCACCACGTTGGCTAGGCTGGTCTGGACCCCCGATCTCAGGTGATCCGCCTGCCTCAGACTTCCAAAGTGCTGGAATAACAGGTGTCAGCCACTGCGCCCGGCCTAGCAGTATTATTTATAATAGTAAAGAGAAGGAACTAACCCAGATGTCCATCGACAGAAAAATATATGAACAAAATGTGGTATACACATACAATGGAATATTATTCAGCCTTAAAAACAAACTCGAATGTGGCCAGGGGCTCATGCCCATATTCCTAGCAGTCTGGGAATCCAAGGCAAGTGGATCACGTGAGGCCAGGTGTTCGAAACAGCCTGGCCAACATAGTAAAACCTCCGTCTGTAATAGAATTACCAAAAATTAGCCAGGCTTGGTAATCCCCGCTACTTGGGAGGCTGAGGCAACAGGATCACTTGAGCCCAGAAGGCAGCGGTTGCAGTGAACTGAGATCACACCACTACACTTCACCCTGGGCAATGAAGTAAGACTCAGCCTCAAAAAAAAAAAAAAAAAAAAAGAGAAAAAAAGAGTAAATAGTCACTCCCTGATACAATATTAACCATGCAGTTATAAAAGAAAAATATGAAGACTATCACCAAGAATAAGGAACTGAAAATTAAATAAAATAAAAATGCATTTATAATACATAGAAATGGGCTGGGCATAGTGGCTCACGCCTGTAATTCCAGCACATTGGGAGGCGTGGCCAGGCATATCACCTGGGGTCGGGGGTTCAAGACCAGTCTGGTCAACATGGAGAAACCCCGTTTTTACTAGCAATACAAAAGTAGGCAGGCATAATGGTACATGTCTGTAATCCCAGCTACTCGGGCAGCTGAGGCAGGAGAATCACTTAAACCAGGGAGGCAGAGTTTGCAGAGGTCCGAGATTGCACCACTGCACTCAAGCATGGGCAACAGAGCAAACTCCAATTCAAAAATTAAAAAAAAAAAAAAAACATAGAAAAGAACAAGTTGAAAGCCACTGTGTCTTAAACAAATTACAGTAGAACTAAAATATGGAGACTTCATTCAACCTCACAAGCTCCCTCAATAAGATTGATGAAAACCATATCTGTTACAGTGTTGATCCCACAACAAACTGAACATAGGTTTTCTTGTTACAAATGAACAATGACACATATTAGCATAAAAAAATGTGAAATGAACAAGAGTTCAGTCAAGAGCCTCATACATAGGAGGCTGTGAGCCCGAATGACATCCTCGCTAGGAAGAATTTCAACACCACTGACTGCTGCTTAGAGAACATGATCATTAGTTTATGGGATGAATATTGTCACAGTGCCAGTGAGAGATGCTTCTGTGATGCTCCTCAAAAACTAAAATGGGCTGGGCATGGTGGCTCATGCCTGTAATCCCAGCACTTTAGGAGGCCAAGGACGGTAGATCGCCTGAGGTCAAGAGTTCAAGACCAGCTTGGGCAACAAGGTAAAACCCCGTCTCTACTAAAAATATAATAATTGGCTGGGTGTGGTGGTGCACGATTGTAATCCTAGCTACAAGGGAGGCTGAGGCAGGAGACTTACTTGAACACAGGAGGCAGGGGTTGCAATGAGCCAAGACTGTACCACTGCACTCCAGCCTGGGCAACAGAGGGAGACTCTATTGGGAAAAAAAAAAAAAAATCAGCATGACAGTCAGAAACACTTGTCAGTCAGTGTCATGCTTTCTATTTCATATCCTGGGCCATGTTGACAATTCTGCTCAGGGCTTCCAGGGGCATCTCCGCCTAGAGCAGCATGATGCTCAATCATAATAGTCAAAGTATTCTTCATGAATTTTCTGTTTTTATGTAAACCCACTCTATAGAAGAGTCCCTAAGAAGCTATCCATGACCGATAGCAGGGTCATCACTGCAGAAAATAATGACATGTACATCAAAAGCATGTATAAGGGCCCGGCATGGTGGCTCACACCTGTAATCCCAGCACTTTGGTAGGCTGAGGTGGGCAGATCACCTGAGGTCAGCAGTTCGAGGCCAGTCTGACCAACACGGAGAAACCCCGTCTCTGCACTCTACCCTATGCAACAAGAGAGAAACTATCTTAAAAAAAAAACCATGTATGGAACAAAATCACTAAAGAGAATACAAAACCAGGAAGAGCCAAGATAGACAAAGGCAGACTCCTTACATCTGCAGGGACATTTTCCTCACCCACAGACTCCAGGTTCCTGTAGTTCTCCAACATCATGGCCCTGTACTAAGCCCTCTGTGCAGGGTTCAGACATTTCCACTCCGCCAAAGAGAATTCTATAGCCACATCCCTGAAAGTCAAGCGTCCCTAAAATGAAAAACACATTTCAGGGCTGGGCGCAGTGGCTCACGCCTGCAATCCCAGCACTTTGGGAGGCTGAGGTGGGCAGATCACGAGGTCAAGAGATCGCGACCATCCTGGCCAACATGGTGAAACCTCGTCTCTATTAAAAATACAAAAAAAAAAAAAAAAAAAACCATAGCCGGGCGTGGTGACAGGCGCCTGTAGTCCCAGTTACTAGGGAGGCTGAGGCAGGAGAATGGTGTGAACCCAGGAGGCGGAGCCTGCCATGAGCCGAGATCACACCACTGCACTCCAGCCTGGGCGACAGAGCAAGACTCCATCTCAAAAAAGATAAAAGAAAAACACATTTCAACAAAACATTATGAAGGAGTGAGTTATCACCCTCACACAAAATGAGAAAAAAGAAATTAAGTATCGATTTGATCAAAGACTGTGTTCACAAATCCATGTGAAGGTATTTTTGAACATTTTTTCTCTATTGTTGCATTTTATTGTACTTTTTCAGAAAGATTATCAGATTCTGTAAGTCACTGTGGAAGTCTTGGTTTTATGGACAATATAAAAAATATACAAATAGAAAGAAAACATTGGGCCGGGTGTGGTGGCCCATGCCTGTTATCCCATCGCTTCGGGATCATGCGATTGCACTCTAAGCTGGGCGACAGAGCAAGACTCTGTCAAAAAAAAAAAAAAAAGATGTGAGCTGATAAGATACTACCAAAACTTATTTCAGAAGTAATTGTTTTTTGTTTTATTAAAAAACAGGCTCACATGATGGCTCTTACCTGTAATCCCATCACTTTGGGAGGCCGATGCGGCTGGGTCACTTGAGTCCAGGAGTTCAACACCAGCCTGGACCACATGGCAAAACCCGGTCTCTACAAAAAACAAAGACATCTGGCCAGGCGAGGTGGCTCATGCCTGTAATCCTACTACTCTGGGAGGTGAAGGTGGGCAGATCGCTGGAGGTCAGGAGTTCAAGACCAGCCTGTCCAACATAGAGAAACCCATCTCTGCTGAAAATACAAAAATTAACCAGGCATGGTGGTGCACAGCTGTAGTCTCAGCTACTCAGGAGGCTGAGACAGGAGAATCACTTGACCCTGGGAGATGGAGGTTGCAGTCAGGCAAGATCATGCCACTTCACTCCAGACTAGGTGACAAAAAGAATCTCAAAAAAAAAAAAAAAAAAAAAAACGAGAAAAAAAACCGCAAACATTAGCCAGGTCTGGTGGGGCACGCGTGTGGTCCCAGCTGCTCTCCAAAGGCAGAGGTGGGAAAATCACTTGAGCCCAGGAGGTTGCAGCTGAAATGAGCTGTGAACCTATCACTGCACTCCAGCCTGGGCAACAGTAAGAGTGTCTCAATATAATTAAAATGAAGGGCCGGGAGCGGTGGGTCAAGCCTGCAATCCCACCACTTTTGGAGGCCGAGACAGGCGGATCACGAGGTCAGATCGAGACCATCCTGGCTAACACGGTGAAACCCCGTTTCTACTAAAAAATACGAAAAACTAGCCGGGCAAGGTGGCGGGCGCCTGTAGTCCCAGCTACTCGGGAGGCTGAGGCAGGAGAATGGCTTAAACCCGGGAGGCGGAGCTTGCAGTGCGCCGAGATCGCGCCACTGCACTCCAGCCTGGGTGACAGAGCTAGACTCCGTCTCAAAAAAAAAAAAATAAAATAAAAATAAAAAGCAACTAATGAAATGAAGATGAACTAGAAAAAAAAGGAAACTCATTACAAAAAGAGAACAAAAGCATTTTTAACATTCCTTTTGTCAGGTTTCCTGTAGTAACAGAGACTTAGTCACTTTTTTTTTTTTTTTTTTTTGTATTTTTAGTACAGACGAGGTTTCACCATTTTGGCCAGGATGGTCTGGATCTCCTGACCTCGTGATCCGCCCGCCTTGGCCTCCCAAAGTGCTGGCATAACAGGCGTGAGCCTGGCCAAGACTTAGTCACTTCACTCCCCAACTCTCCACCCCATCAATGAAAAGGGAAGAGGGTGATCCACAACTAACGAGTTAAGTCACTGTCCTCTGGTCTCTGACACCATCGTTATAAAATGAACGACATTTAGAGACAGCCGTTTTGCAACTTTCCTTCTCATCTGTATAATTTAAACAAATTTTAAATTTCTTACCTTCTAAAGAGAGAAAGCAACTTGTCATCACTTCCTCATCACATCCAACCAACTCACCGTCCATCTGCACCCAGGGTCCCTCCTCGTCTTCATTACTGTTTCCCTCCCTCATTCTGTACATAGCTCTTTCTCACCTTCTCTCTCTATTTCTTCTCTGCATTTCCCCATGGGTTTCTGCTCATTTTGTGTCCCACTTCTCTCCTACCCCATTCTTAAAACTTGTTTCACCTCTTGTTCCTCTTTCTCACTAATCTTTTCACTGTCCCCAATCTCCCCCTTGTCCTGAGGCAAGAGAATAGGATCTGGAGACAGGGAACATAAGGCCCATTCACACTTCATTCAAGACAGAAAATATCCTCTCCATATGGCCCACGCTGAGTAAATGACCTCGTATCTTTCCTTCATCCACTTCATTTACATAGGGCATAGGGAAAATTAAGAACACACTTCCATTTGCTATGGAACTTAAAGAAATAATTACGAATAAGCTTAATTAAGGAGGTGAGAAGCTTTTACATTAAAATCTACAAACATTGATCAAAAAATCTACAAACATTGATACGACCCATATTGATGGATTAGAAGTATTAATATTGTTTAATAATTATACAAACCAGTGTGATTCAGATTCAACACAACACCCATAAAAATCCCTATCAGTTTTCGTTAAACAAAAAACAGGCTGGAAAAAATGACTCACGTCTTCTAGTCAGGCTGCTCTCAAACTCCTGACCTCAAGTGATCTATCTGCCTTGGCCTCCCGAAGTGCTGGGATTACAGGCGTGAGCCACCCTGCCCAGTCCAATCTTCTTAACATAAACACTTTAATATCAATTAATGCTTGAACTCAAAGTTAAGTCAACTCAAACTGAAGTCAACACTGAATTGACTCTAATATCAATTAACGTGTGATGGTTTGCTATACTCATGGCATTTGCAACGATTATCTCAAGAATGAATTTTCTGATGTTCTTCAAGGAGTGACCTCAGAGTGAAGATATTTTACACTTACAGTATTTGTAAGCTTTCTTTCCAGTATAGATTCTCTGATGTGTAATGAGCTGTGAACGTGAAGGAAAGGCTTTGCCACAATCATCACACTTGTGAGGTTTCTTTCCTGTATGAATTCTCCTATGTTTTGCATACAATGAAGCTTGACTGAAGACCTTGCCACAATCATGACATTTGTAAGGTTTCTCTCTAGTATGACATTTGTAAGGTTTCTCTCAAGGTATGAACGATGTCTGAAAAATTTCCCACATTTGTCACACTAGTAACATCTCACTTCATTATGGATTCTCCAATGATTTGCAATGGTTGTAACGTTACTGAAGACTTTGTGACAATCATTACATTAGTAAAGTTTCCCTATACCATGGATTGCTTAATGGTGAATAAGTGTTGACTGCCCATTAAAGGCTCTGTCACACTCATTACACTTTTAAGTTTTCTCTCCAGTGTGAATCCTAGTATGTTCTGCCAGGTGTGAATCACTCCTGAAAGCCTTGTCACAAACTCTTACATTTGTATGATTTCTCTCCAGTATGAATTCTGTCTTTCGAGGCTTGATTGAGACGGTAAACTTTGTCACATTCTTCACATTTGTAAGGTTTCTCTCCAGTATGAATTCAATGATGCCATGCAAGCTTGCTTTTTGACTAAAAACTTTACCACATTCATTACACTTGTAAGGTTTCTCTCCAGTGTGAATTCTAGTACGTCACGCCACGTGTGAATCACGCCCGAAAGCTTTGTCACAAACCTTACATTTGTATGGTTTCTCTCCAGTATGAATTCTCCTATGCTTTTCAAGGCTTGATTTGTGACTGAAAACTTTGTCACATTCTTCACATCTGTAAGGTTTCTTTCCAGTATGAAGTCTATGATGGCTTGTAATGGATGACTTCTGACTGAAGGACTTGCCACATTGCTTACACTTGTAAGATTTCTCTCCAGTATGAATTGCCTTATGAATTACAAGGACTGAATTTTGACTGAAGGTCTTGCCACACTCATTACACTTGAAAGGTTTCTCTCCAGTATGAATTCTATGATGATGTGCAAGGTGTGGTTTTCGATTAAAAACCTTGCCACATTCATTACACTTGTAAGGTTTCTCTCCAGTATGAATTATCCTGTGATTTTCAATGTTTGATTTGAAACGAAAAGTTTTATCACATTCTTCACATTTGTAAGGTTTCTCTCCAGTATGAAGTCTATAATGGTATACAAGGGATGACATCTGACTGAATGTCTTGCCACAATCATTACACTTATAAGGTTTTTCTCCAGTATGAATTCTCCTATGTCTTTCAAGGTTTGCTTTGAAACTGAAAGCTTCATCACATTCTTCACATTTGTAAGGTTTCTCTCCAGTATGAACTCTACGATGGTATATAAGGGATGACGTCTGAATGAAGATCTTGCCACACTCATTACACTTGTAAGGATTCGCTCCAGTATGAAGTCTACAATGGCGTGTAAGGGATGACTTGTGACTGAAGGTCTTGCCACATTCATTACACCTGTAAGATTTCTCTCCAGTATGAATTCTTCTGTGTGTTTCAAGGTCTGATTTGAAACTGAAAGCTTCATCACATTCTTCACATTTGTAAGGTTTCTCTCCAGTATGAAGTCTACGATGGTATACAAGGGATGACATCTGACTGAAGGTTTTGCCACACTCATTACACTTGTAAGGTTTCTCACCAGTGTAAAATCTATGATGACATGCAAGGTTTTGCTTCCAATTAAAGACCTTGCCACATACATCACATTTATATTGTTTGTCTCCTAAATGGATTATCTGATGTTTCCTTAAGAGTGATCTATAAGTAAAGGCTTTGTCACTTTCATTACATTGGAAAGATTTTTCTCTTATGTGTACTTCCTGTTTTTGTGTGAGTAATGATGAATGGAGGAAATTTTTTCCATAGTTGTTAGAAATATGGGTTTTGGGCCTACAAGAAATTATTTGGGATGTTGAAACTGAGGAAGCATCATTGATAGACTTCTCAACTTGATTGCTAATTTCTCCTTTGCTCTGAAATGTGTGTAGTTCAGGCAGATGTGAATGAAAGCTTAATTCAAGCTGATTTTTAATAGGCTTCTTTCCAGCATGCCTTCAATTATATCGGTCTGTACTACCAGTCAACCATTTTATTTTTGTCATGGGTGTTTCATGGCTATTTCTTTCATCTTCTTGCCACTGAAACTCAAAGTTATGAATATCTTTCTCAATTTCCTGGAAGCAAAAATCTCCAGTGGGATGAATTTTATGTCTTTGCATTGTCCCTGTGTGATTCACTTCTGTATTGTCTTTTGCTATTGATGAGAACTCCTTCATCATGCATCTGGAATGGATATCTACAAAATGTAAACACCAATAGGTTTCCAATTAAGTATAGATGGTAAATAATACTGAACTGTATAAATATGACACTAAAAACAATACTCATTTTAAACTTCCCAAACATGATCTTCAAAGTTTAGGAACACAAAAGGGTAAGATTCTTTAATAAATAAAGGGCAATTACATGTACTTCAAATTATTTTTAACTGAAGCCTACTCCCAATATCATGACGAAACACTGACAGGGCACAAACAAGTTTAAAAGGAGTATTTTTCCACTGTGACCCTAAAGTGTGAAACAGTTTGCAAAAAACATATCACTGTCACATCAAGAAAGAGAAAAATATATATTCTTCATATTTATAGCGTATCTACTGTATACAAATGCTAAAGGGCCACACAATATACTATATTGGTAAATAATCAACAACAGGCTAATGTCACCCTGGGTGACAGAGCAAGACACTCTATCAAAAAGAAAAAATGAGAAAATACAAACATATGCAAGGGCGCATCCCCACTTCTGGAGGGAAGTTATCCTCACCCAGGGAGACCAGGTTCCTATAATTCTCCACCATCACGCTTCTGTATAAAGTCCTCTGAGTAGGGTCCAGGCATTTCCACTCCTCCTGAGAGAATTCTATGGCCACATCCCTGAATGTCAACAGACCCTGAAATGAAAACACATTTTAACCAAATGGTTATGGGAGGAGTTCTTATCTTTAGAAAAAATGAGGAGAGGTGAAAGCATGGATTTAATTGCAGTGAATGTTCTGACAAATCCGAGTGAGGGATTTTCCACATTTTGTCTTACCAGTGTGTTTTGTTATACTTTTCCTTTTTTTGTTTCTTGTTTTTGTTTTTTTGAGATGGAGTCTCGCTCTGTCGCCCAGGCTGGAAGAACTCAGAGAAGATTCCCAACTCCAAGGCCCAGCGTTTCAAAAAGGAATGAGACAGAACAATCCACCGAGAATATCATCTCACCTGGGGAGGAGCCATCCCTGACTCCTTTGCTTTCCTCTTCCTTTTCCAGGTATCTTCCTCAGGGTTTCTTCCTCACGTACCAAGAGTCTTTAGAAGTCAATCTTGAATGTTAAAAATATGTTGTTGATTGCTCAGAATCAACACACACCCTCCCTGTAACACAATGACAAATACAAAGGAGACCTCACCCTGAGGAAATATGGTCCTCTCTGCTGCCCACTGCAGCAGGGACAACAGGAAAACTACATGAATTTTGAGCCCTTTCTTCAGAACCCACTTCCCTCCTGGAGAAGCCCACACACACGCTGCAGCAGTGGGAGCTGGGTTGGAATGAGCTCCCCTTTAGGACACAGACCCAGTCCTGACCAAACCCCACACAGAGGCTGGATGTGGTGGTTCACGCCTGTTATCACAGCACTCAGAGGCCAAGGCAGGTGGATTGCTTGAGCTCAGGAGTTCAAAACCAGCCTGGGTAATATAGTAAAACCCCATCTGTACTAAAATTACCTAAATTTTGCCAGGTGTGGTGGTGCATATCTGTGGGTCTTTGGGCCCAGCTACTTAGGAGTCTGATGTGAGAGGATCACGTGAGCCCAGGGGCGGAGGTTGCAGTGAGCCAAGATTGCATCACTGTACTCCAGCCTGGTAACAAGAGTGAGATTTATCTTAAAAACAAAAAAGCCCAGGTGTGGTGGCTCACGCCTGTAATTTCAACACTTTGGGAGACCCAGGCAGGCAGATCACTTGAGGTCAGGAGTTGGAAACCAGCCTGGCCAACATGGCAGAACTCCATCTGTACTAAAAATACAAAAATAAGATGGGTGTGCTGGTGTGGGCCTGCAGAACCAGCTACTCAGAAGGCTGAGGTAGGAGAATCACTTGAACCCTGGCAGGTGAGGCTGCAGTGAGCTGAGATCGTGCCATTGCATTCCAGCCTGGGTGACAGAGTGAGACTCCGTCTCAAAAAAATAAAAATGAAAAATAATCTGGAGAAAGCAGGGAAGGATAGTCTGCTGGTTTACCATTTTGATCCCTGGCACAGACAGTTCCTCTATTTTTGCCCCCAGTCATATAGTATACGCTTAATAGCTACTGAGTGAGTGAATGAATAAGAGTGATACTAGTATGTCCTCTCTGGGGTCTCATGTGTATCAGGGTCCTGTTTGACTTTGGAATGGTCTTCATCTTGACGAGGGAGATGAGCAGGAACAGCTGAGGGGGACAGCCCAGGGTCCCTCACCCAGACCAGTCTGCTTGCCCAACAGGTGGGAAGAACAAGTGTATGTTCGCTCAGAAACACATCTGGCTGATCTAAGGGGTCGCTGCCTGACCCTGAGCGAACCCACATTGGCAATTAAAGACCCTAAATTAAAAACCTTCCTGGGGCTGGGTGCAGTGGCTCGTGCCTAAAATTTCAACACTTTAAGAGGCTGAGGCAGGCGGATCACCTGAGGTCAGGAGTTCAAGACCAGCCTGACCAACATGGAGAAACCCCATCTCTACTAAAGATACAAAATTAGCCGGGTGTGGTGGTGCACGCCTATAATCCCAGCTACTCGGGAGGCTGAGGGAGGAGAACCGCTTGAACCCAGGAAGCAGAGGTTGCGGTGAGCAGAGTTCATACCATTGCACTCCAGCCTGGGCAACAAGAGCAAAACTCCACGTCAAAATAAATACATACATACATACATACATACATAAAATAGTTCCTTGATATATTTATCAAGTACACGTTGAAACAACCTAAAATCATGTATCAGGTACTAGAAAATGTTTTCAATATATGATACAGACTAGAAAGCATGCAGTCCCCAGTGTAAACTGAATAAAATAAATTTCATAAACTATTTTAAAATGGTTAAAAAATACATCTAATGAATTGTGGGGACAAAGGAGGAAATTTTGAACACATATCATAGTTACAAAACAATGATGTGAGCTCATAAGATTCCACTAAAGCTTGAGAAGATTTATTTTATATTTTATTTTAATTAATTTATTTTATTTTATTTTATTTTGAGACAGAGTCTCGCTCTGTTGCCCAGGTTGACACGCAGTGGCGCGATCTCAGCTCACTGCAACCTGCGCCTCCCGGGTTCAAGGGATTCTCCTGCCTCAACCTCCTAAGTAGCTGGGAGTAAGATTACAGGCGCCCGCCACCACACCGAGCTAATTTCTGTATTTTAGTCGAGACGAGGTTTCACCATGTTGGCTAGGCTGATCTCGAACTCCTGACCTCAGGTGATCCGCCCACCTCTGCCTCCCAATGGGAGGCCGGAGCGGCTGGATCGCTTGAGCCCTGGAGTTGGAGACCAAGCTGGGCAACAAGGCGAAAGTCGTCTCTAATCAAGAATACAAAAATTAGCGCGGTGTGGTGGCGCGTGGCTGTGGTCCCAACTACTTTGGAGGCTAAGGTGGGAGAATCCCTCTAGCCCAGGATGTTGACGATGCAGTGAGCTGTGATCCTGTCACCGCTCTCCCGCCTGGGCAACAGAGACCCATCTCCAATAAAAAAGAAGAAAAAGGAAACACATGGGTCCTGGGTCTGGGGGCGGGGAATCTAAGGCCAATTAACGTGAACTTTCCAAAACTAGGCCAAAAGGAAAAACCCCATCTTTCCATCCGGAGCAACAAAGAATCAAAGGCTGCTCTCCCTACCGCCCTGCCCCTTCAACCACGTCTCAGATGGAAAGGGAAAGAGCCCAGGAGTGGCCAAGGCCAAGCACCGGCCACCCCTCCACCTGCATAGGGCACCCATCTGCATAGGGCATAGGACATAGGGCATAGATAAGGGGTAGCCCATACAGACCTCAAAAGAAATACTTTAACCCCGAAAAACTTTGTAAACGGGGCCCTGGAGCCGCTCGCTCGGGCCCACTCCTCCCTGTGGAGTGCTGTCTTGATTGAATAAATTCCTGCTATCGCCGCTTCGTTCTTTTGTGACTTTGGGAGGGTTTTTTTTTTTTTTAATTCTATGTTCAACAGCGAAGAACCTGGAAACTTCAAACTCAAAGCCCGCCTTCCGGTAACAACAGGGACAGAATGGGATAAGAGGGTTGCCTGCAAGAAGAGCACGTTTTCCAAGGGTTGGAATTGGGGAGCAGCAGGGCCCGGCACGAGGGGGGAGGTGGAGGGCGACGGCGCCTTCAGACCACGGTGGGGTCTGCAGGACCCCAGGACCAGGCAGAGAACGCAGCTTCCCCGGGACTGGGGCTGCCGCGGTGCGCTCCAGGCGCCGACAAGAGCGAGGCTGAGAGGCGCCCAGGGCGGGAATTCAGCTGGCGGGTGAGGACTTGAAACAGCGCGAGCCGGGAGGACGGGTCAGGAAGGGTTTTGCGAAGGAAATTTTCGCGATAGGAGGTGTCTTCACGGCCCCACTGCAGAAAGACCGGGGATGGGACCAGCCTCAGTGCGACTTTAAACTCAGTAGGAAGGGACTCACGGACTCCTACTTGGACGTCTCAACTTGCTCTGGGTTGAGAAAGTCGCGCCGGAATTTCCGGGTCTGTGGGAACCCCACCTCCCTGGTATAGCAGCACCTGAGAATTGGGAAGCGCAACGCCGCGGTGCAACCCTCAGGCCACACCATCCGCTTCCGGGTCTGTGCCAATCAGCGCAGGACAGAAGCCAGACCTGGGCGGAACCCCTAGGAGGTGGACTGGGTATGATTGAGGAGGGGGCCAGGGAGAGTGACAAGGGGCCTGGCGCGGGGGAGAAGAGTCCTGGGTTGTGAGGGGTCCGCGGGGGCGGGGCCTGCGCTTTTCTCCATCCAAAACCCGCGCATCAGTTTTCCGGGTTTTGGAGACGAAACCCGCCAGTAAGGCTGGAGCAGCTCAGCAGTCATGGAAATAGTACCTGAGAAGTCGACGTGGGGCGGTAATTGGATCCAGGAAAGTTCCTTGCTATTGAAATTAATTTTACCAATTTAATTTCAAAGCCTTTAAGTTGTCTAGGGCAGGAAGGCAAGCTAGAATGCGAAATGCAAAGGCTTCCCTGAGCGAAAGGTACAATTTCATGCCGATGGCCCACAGAACAGAATAGAAATGCTCCTCCTTTCTATTCTCCATTTACTGGGGTGGGAGACTCCACCCTGTGCTCAGCTCCAGAGACTTCCCTAGGGCCACCCCATGGGGTGCGGAGCGGACGGCCCAGGCCTAGGAAGAGTGAGGTCACCACCTGCTGCTTAAACACAACAGGGATGCGGGTGAGGTGGTGGGAGTCTGGGGTCCCAGCTACTCAGGAAGCAGGAGCAAGAAGATCGCTGAGCGCAGAGGTCCAGCCTGGCCAGACAAAGACCCTCTACCCCAGAGCTCCCTCCTTCCTCTCAATAAGAAAAAAGGTGATTTAAAAGAAAAACAAAAAACAAAAAAAACATATAAATTGCCCAGTTGTTCCTTACATTTGTTATTTCACGCTGCACTTAAAATGAATTATTCTTGTCGTGGAAAAGAGTCAAACTCAGTAAAATATTTTGAGAGGTTTATTCTGAGCTAAATATGAATGACAATCAGGAGGTCCTGAGAACATGTGCCCAAGGTAATGGGGAACAGCTTGTTCTTAGACATTTTAGGGAGGCATTAGACATCAAATACATTTAAGAAATACACTGCTTTGGCTCAGAGAAGTGGGACAACTCAAAGCGGGTCTTCCAGGCTATAGGTAAATTGAAACATTTTCTGATTGACAGTTGGTTGAGTTTGTCTAAATACCTGGGATCAGTAGCAGAAATGTTCAGGTTAAGATAGAAGATTGTGGAGACAAAGGCTGTTTTGAAGTCTTCTACTGGCTGCCTTAGAGACAACAGATGACAAGTGTTTTCTATTCAGACATTTAAAAGGTGCTAGCTTCTTACTTACTCTCTTCAGGATTGAGAGGGCCTAGAAGAAAAAGATCTAGCTATGTTAGAGATTCTTTACAGATGCACATGAACCCCTCACAAAGGACAGCTTTGCAGGACCATTTCAAAATATGGCAAAGAAACATGTTTTGGGGTAAAATATTTTGACTTTCTTCTTTGTCACATGTTATTCCAGAGTCAGACTGGAAATAAGACAGGATATATAGGACTAAATAAAACCATCTGATGAGTATTTATGGT